GAAACCAAATAAAAATGTGCTGGAAAGTCAAGGTTCTAGACTATGTGCCTGATCTTTTTGCAGGTGAAGCCCTGAAGGTCAGGTAAAGTTAGGTCAGTATTCTCAGAACATTCCAAGCTTACTTAAGTCATGTGCATTGTGGAACTGGTGTCTGTAATTTGTGGGCACATTTTACCTTTGTATGGTTATTACAATGTCCTTTAGGCACATAATTCCCTGGATCTACTTGAAGTGAAAATTAAAATTATTTTCTACAATTTGTCTTCCTTGTCAGAAAACAGAGCCAAGAGTTTGAAGAAGTGGTACTGCAGTCCGGTGATTGTAGGATAGATGATGTCACCCTTATAGGGATGATTTCATTTATGCCCTTTCTGGATATATCTATCTGAAAGTAAAAACAGCCTCAAGAGGGAGGGAAATCCACGCATGTAGCCCTGGATGAATCTCTGTGCACTAAAACCCTTAGGAGGTGATTGGCAGGGTCAAGAGGCCACTGTTTAGAGAGCAAAAAGCGCTGTTAATTGGTTCTTTGCCAAGCAAAATCACACAGAATTTTCTAGTGCGCCGGCTCTAGTGAGCTCTTCTAAACAGCCTGAACTTCCTCTGTGTGGGCTCCCAAGACTGCTCCAGGGAATGTGCAAGCTGGAGCCTCCAGGCCTGTGGAAGCTCCGACCCTACTCTACGGGTAAACTGCACATCCAGGGGCCAAGGAGGCAGTCGGGGAAAGACTTCATCATACAAGTTTTTCCCAGAAGTGAGTGTTTATAGGCCCGTAAAACCTTCTAAACTCTTTTCTGGTAGATTTTGTCATGTGTTCCACATGATTTCTTCTAATTAGAAATATTTTTATCAAGCAAACAAACACCTGTAAGTACTCTGCTTCTGCAGTCAGTTGTCTAGTGATTGAAGGTGAGTGCTGTGGTTTCTATGCAAGATAACGCTTAGGGACTACGCCCAAGGAAACATGAAGCAATAATACCTGTTGGCAGGCAGATGAAATCAAGTCTGGGGAGGCCCACAGCCTCAGGAGTGGGCAACACAAGCTCTCATGCCTGGAGCCAAGCCCTAGTGAAGGGGCTGACCAGAACTCATTGAGTGAACAGGCACTTTATGGGCTATTGTGTGCCCCCCACCTCATTCATATATTGAAATCCCAACCTCTACTCCCTAGACCGTGACTGTATTTACAGACAAGGTATTTTTTGTTTTTTAGTTGTACATGGACATAATACCTTTATTTTATTTATTTTTATGTGATGTTGAGGATGGAACCCAGTGCCTCACACATGCTAGGTAAGCGTTCCACCTCTGAGCTACAACTCCAGCCCCTGGAGACAAGGTCTTTAAAGAAGCAGTAAGGTAAAATGAGAGTTTTAGGCTGGGCCCAAATCTAATCTGATTAGTCTCCTTATGAAAAGCAGAGATTAGGACAGATGCACACAGAGAAATGGCCATCTGCAAGCCTCAGACAAACCAACCCTGCTGACACCTTGACCTTGAACTTCCAGCCTCTAAGGACTATAAGAAAATGTATTTCTGTTGCTCAGTCTGTGATGTTTATTACCGCAGCTCTAGCAGACTAAGGCAGGGAGCAACCGGAAACTGACTTAGAGTGCCGTCCCCATGACAACCTTCCTCTGAGCTCCATGCCCACAAAGGGAAGCTTGGCTGGTACCATTCCTCATGTAGCTGACACCTTCTCCAAGGTTTCACGTGCATTTCCTTGCCGCCATGACATACAGCGACGACGACGTGTGCTTTGTACTGATGCTAATAATTTGTCTTCATCATCTAAACACGTGTAGAAATTTGTCAAGCCTTCTGTTACTTATCCAAGCTACTCATATTCTAGTTCTTTCTTTAAAGTTCACAATCTAAGTCCTTTTCTTTAATCTGTGAATTTAAATTGCTAATGCGCTACTTGTCTAGCTGTACTTTATGAAGTGGCATTTGGGGGTGTTTATCTTTTCCACTCAGAAAGAAAAGTGAAGGGATTGATTGTCGAATTCTTGCTTTCTGCTGCACTCTTTGAGCTTAGCAGGGACTAGGAACTGGCTTAGGGGTCATCAATACTCAGGGGCTTTATATTTGTAAGGGCTCTGTCTAGGGATATGGAAATGTCCTTTGTGGTTCAGAATGTATGTCAGAGCACAATTCATTGCCTGATTCACATCCTTAAGTGAACACAAAAGACAAAGAGGGCCAGGGGATGAAAATAATTCAATGGATTAGTATCTCCATGGAGACAGAAAATGCATAATCTCTATGGAGACCCTCTAACGCTCTCCTTCTAGAATTATGGTAGTATATGAGCTGTTGTAATTATATATTGGGGGCAGAGAGAAAGTGATAAGAGGAAGAGGGTGAGAGGATGATCTTTCCCTCCCTATGCCAGTAACAGCTATGGTCACTCAAAGTTTAATGGCTTAGTACTGAACATTTCCAAAGTTAGGATTTGGGGAGACCAGGTCTCTAGGATGGGATAAGGAGGCACCTGAAGATGGTGTTTAGAAGCCCAACACTGAACTGTATGTCTGACATGGAGAAGGCATTCAAAAAGGCATGAATGAATTAATGCCTGCATAGGACCCAGCAGAACCAGGAGCCTTCAGGGGTGGGGGTGGGGGTGGGGGGGGTGGGGTGGTGGTGCTGCTTATCCTTACTTCCCAGGAGAATGGTGCTCAGCGATGTGAATACAGTCAAAGAGGAAGTGAAGTTCAGGCCTGGTGAGGAGATAAACAGGGTACAGGGAAATAGACCAGCCAATGAACGTAAGTCACTGTGTCCAAATAAACTGTATCCTGTTGTAACCTCCATGTTCTTGGCCTTCACCTTGGGATACAAAATGGGATGCTGATTATTTTTTATACATAATTATGGCCTACCACCCATCCCATCTTCTGTGACTTATCTGGTGGAAATAAGCCTGTGTAATGTGATTTCTGAGAGTTTCCTCTCGTCATGCCGTAGGGTAGCACCCCAACGCTTTTGTCTCATTTCTCTTCATTTTGCTGTCATTTTATAGTCCGGGTTCTGTCGACCCCTAGAAGAGCACCTCTTAGCATGGTAATTGCTACTGGCTTGTTAGTGGTGACTGAAGAAATCAGCTTGAATTCCAGGAATACCCACTGCTAAACTATGCATATCCAGGCTTTTTCTATTTACACAGTTATCTCTATGTATGTACATATATATATATTTCCATATACATGTAGTAGCTTGAGATCAGATTATATAATTTGTTTTGTACCCTGCATTTTCCTAACAATATTGACAATATTTCTCCAAGACTAAACATGTAGCCTACTGAAATATGTCATTTTTAATAACTTCATGGCATTTACTGTGTGAATATACTGTTATTACTTCATCTGTTAGACTTTTCAGCTGCTCCCAGTTCTCCCGCTAAACAGGAACTCACTGTATCTTTTAGTGTCCATTCTTACGCATTCCCGGTGATTTCCTTAGGCTATGTGACATCGGTAGAATTTGGGGTTGAAGACAACTGGCATTTTAAGGATACATGTTTTGGGTCATTTTGCTATTCATCTTTTTATGTACCCCCTTTTTTTTGGTACACAAAATCTAAAACTGTAACCCCCTGGGTATTGGACTCCTGTTTTCAACTTTCTATCAGTCACCTACGCTGAAGGGTGACAGCGCTTCTCATGCCATCAGTGGCAACCATGAATATACTCTAAGGTGTCTGGGGACTTTGAGGCAAACCGCCATTTCCAAAGCAAAACCGGGTGTCAAGTCTTAGCATCCCATTTCTGTCGGATGGACTGCACCGGAGGGAACAGAAGTTCTTGGAATACAGTGACACCTCAGAGAATAAACACTCCTCACCTCCGTGGAGGACTTCTAGAATTGCTTCCAATCGTCTGAGCTCCTGGGGACTCATCTGGTATGCCTAACCTCGCACAGCCACGGCGCAGAGTGGGTACTCAGGGCCAAGAGCGGTGCCAGGTCGCTGCAGAGTGCGAGGCAGCGGTGGTCAGTGACCCGCAGACCTCTTCCTACCTACCTGCCGTAAAAATAAAATACCTGTGGAGGCAGCGTCGCCCCACTCCTTCCTCACTCTTTCCCTCAGTCGTTGGAGAGGAGGTGGCTAAAGGCAGAACTGGTGCTCCGAGGGGGCCAGGGGCTTTCGGAGGCAGTGGGCTGGGGAAGTCTGGACAGTTTCCTTCCATTGTCTTCCCTTCCTCCCTGACTTCTTCTGGCGGGGGGACGGGCCCGCCTGGGTGCGGGGCCCGCGCGGTGGGGTCCAGCCCCCTCACTTAGCCAAGTTCCGGCTCCCGCCAGGCCGAGCGGGGCCGTTTGCAGCCGCGAAAACCCGGGGCACTCGCCGTTCCCCGGCCTCTCCCCTTTCGGTTTCCTCCTAGGGCGGGTTGGAAACTTCGCCAGACACCCAAGAAGCTCCGCCCTGTCCTTTGGAGCAGGCCAGAGGCGGGGGTCCCGCTGGGCACTGCCCCCGCCCTGCCTCGGGAGGTGGCCCGGGGCCGTCTCCCCTGGGGCCGCGGGAGGGGGGTGCCTGGACCGCGCGGAGCCGCCGGCGGAGCAGGAGTGGGGTGCGCACGCACCCCCGCGGCCCAGGCTCGCCGCCAAGCCGTTCCGACTCGGGTCCTCCCCGCACGCCGAGCGCCCTCCCCGGCGGAGGCCCCCTCCCCGCCGCCCGGGGGCAGCGCGAGCGCCCGCGGGAGCCGCCGGAACCCGGCCCGCGCGCCAGGCGGCGGCGCGGCGGCTGCGGCCTAGGGCGCCCGGCGGCCGCCGGCCTCCCTCCCCCTCCCCCTCCCGGAAGCGCGGGGCGGGGTCCCCGGCCGGGCCGCGGGGGCGGGCGCGGGGGCCGGGCCGGGGCGGGGCGCGGCGGCGCTCGGCGCTCGCGGGCTCGGCGGGCTGTGCGCGCCCACTCCGGCTCCAGGCGGCCAGCGCGAGCGGGCCCAGGCCGCCCTGCTGCAGCCGAGCACCGCGGCGGCGCAGCGGTAGCAGCAGCAGCAGCAGCTCGCGCGAGGCCCCGCGCCCCCCGCAGCCCCTCCCGGCTCCGTGCATGGAGACGCGGCCCGCCGTCCGCCGCTGAGACCCGGCCGGCCGGGACCCGCCGGGGCTGCGGTGGCTTCGGGCTCCCGCGCGGCCCGCGGGCCTGTCGCCCGCGCGGATCGCCGCGGTCCGGCCGTCCCGTGCCAGGAAGTGGCCGTCCGGAGCGCCATGGCCCACTCCCCGGTGCAGTCGGGCCTGCCGGGCATGCAGGTAGGCAGGGGCGCCGCCGGGGCGGAGGGATGCGGGCCGGCGGAAGCGGGCAACTTGGCGGTGTAAACACGGCCCCCCCCCCGCTCTCCCTTCCGGGGTCGCGCCGGGGCCCGCTGGCCACGTCGGGCCCGAGTCCCCCGGTTTTCGCCGGCGCGGGCGGCCGGGTCTCGGGTGTGCGTAAGAGTGGAGGGGCCTGGGGACCACGGCCTGGGTCGCGATGTGCGTTGCCGGCGCCTCGCGCTCGGCGCTCGCCTCGGTCCCCAACTCGGAGCTGCAGGCCGGCGTCGGCCCCATCCCCGGGGAGAAGGGATGTGAATAAATGCCCTTGGAGGCCCCGCTCGGTCCCTGGGCAGGCCAGGGCCCGGGCCCCCGGAGTCTGTCTCCTAGGAGACCCCCAGGACCCCCAGAGCCACCGGGCGGAAGACTGAGCGGAGGGCGGGGACCTGGGAGCGCGCCCCAGTGACTAGTCCCGGGCCGCGCGGCCCCGCGGAGCAGGCGGCAGGGCGGGGTGCAGGAAGGTGCAGCCGAGTCCCCTGGCTGCCCTGGGTTGGAGCCTTTGGTTCTTGGGCGGGCCGAGGGGAAAGTGCGAGCCTGCAAACCGGGAAGGGGGAATTCTTGGGACCGCGAGCTGGAGCGTCCCGGGGCCTGGCCCAGCCAGCCAGTGCCGGACGCTGGGCTTTCACTTTGAGACCTTGCTGGCACGGAGAGGAGCTCCTTGCAGCAGACCTCTCTGTGGATACTTTGTGGCATCTTGGCCTGCCAGTGACTTTTTGGGGGAATCAGAGGAGTTGAATTTCAAGTGTACAAGAATGCATTAAAGTTTTTTCGCTTTAGGGGACTGTTTTCAACCCTTTGGGAGTGGGGAAACAGCATCCTTGGCTAACTTGTAATGTTTGTAAACTCACAAATGGTAACAAAGTGGGATTAAAGTCGCATGGTACAGTTAGGGCATGCCATTAAAGTTTTACTTTTCCTAGCACTGGAGCTAAATCAGTGAACAGAAGAGCTTTAAGAAAACAACCAAAAATATCCTCCTGGATTATTTGTTCTAATATGGATAGCAACAAGCTCCTTCCTCTGACTCCAGGGCCCAGAAGCAGGATGCCTAGACCTTGGCTCTGAGGAGCAGGAATCTGAGACCCTCGTCCAGAGAGATCATATTCATATTCTCTCTCTCTCTCTAATCATAAAAAGAAAACAATTTCATTGTTCTGGTTTGAAACCTAGAAAAATAGGAGATCAAAGTTACTACTTTTAATGGCAGTTAGGATTTTAATCCAAGTTTGCTCTTTTTTAAAGGAATCATGAATGGGAAGATACTCGAAGAGTGTTCCTAAATCTTATCTAAAAGAGTTTTACATTTTATGTGTTGATTGCTAGGTAAAAATCAGATGTAGTTCTTGTTATTTCCTAAAGCTCCTGCTTGTTTGAATTTAGAGGCCTGAAGGCCTGGTGAGCTGGGTGAAAAATAATTTCTTGTCTATAGAGCAAGAAAGGTCTCTTGGAATGACTTTAAAAGTTTTATCAATATTTCCTTTAGACTGATTTTTATAATGTGTTAATCAGGTTGTAATCTAAGCACAAATGCCCTCACTTACTTAGGTGCTCAACCTTCGTGGAAAGTGAATCAGTTTGAAAAGGTACAAAGCAAGCGCCCTGCAAAGTGGCACAGGCTGTAATCCCAGAGGCTCAGGAGGCTGAGGCAGGAGGATTATGATTTCAAAGCCAGCCTCAGCAAAAGTGAGGCAGTAAGAAACTCAGCGAGACCCTATCTCTAAATAAAATAAAAATAGGGCTGGGGATGTGGCTTAGTGGTTGAGTGCCCCTGCTGAGTTCAATTCCCCTCCCCCCCCTTTACCAAAAAGGTAAAAAGCCCCTGTGGCTAGTGCTCTGAAGTTAGTATTCCATGGACACCAGGTAGTTCTGGTCTAGGGCTTTTTTTTTTTTTTTTTCTTTTTTTCTTTTTTAGGAGTGGGCCAAAATACCTCATCTTGAGAAAAGAAGATATATTTTCTTTAATAACTTCACCTCTCAAAAAGAGTGCATTTCCTAGGTGATGTTACAGGCAGGAGTTTTTATTTTCTGAGTTTAAAGATGAAATTTTTCTCCATAGGAAAGACCAGTTTTTCAGCTGTTGGAGTGTTAGAGGTGTGAAAGTGGCTTCTGACAGTCATCCCTGTGCTTACGTACACTCACAAACTGTGTAAGTTTTTGGTGTACCATTTGGGGAATAACATTCCTTCTTCTCCCATCCCTCCAGAAAACAAACACACTTAGGAATTAGCAGCTGCTGCTGCTGCCAGGGCCTCCCCTGGAAGCTGTGGATGAGGATTGCACTAAAGGCACACCTGGCCTTGACCCTTGGCAGAGATAAAACTGGAGAGAAGTACTCCTCCCTTCTGGGATGGATCTCCGATCCCTCCTCCGTCTTCACGTCCTGACCTCGGCTTGTTAAGGAGTTGGCTTAAATGTTTTGGAAAGACTACAGAGTGAATTTAGGTGGCCTGGGCAGGAATGCTTATAAAATAGCCAGAATGAGGAACATTTTAGTCTGAAGACCATTTTTCGTGTCTTGCAAATCGTACTTAGCCATCTTACGATTCTTGTTGGTACCACTGAGACATAGGTATTATTTTAACCATTTTATAACCATGGAAACCAATGCAAATGAATGGACCAAGGTAAGATACGGTATTTTGTGGCAGATTTGTGATTGGAAACCAGGTCTTTCTTGCCTTGAAGACCATACTCCCACCCACCATTGCCATTATTGTTACTTTTGCAAACATTACAGTCATTATATTCCAGATTATATTTGGCGAAGAAATTAGAAATAAAGATTTTTTTTTTTTTTTAATTTCTACAGGCAGGAGCCATTGTTGAATGCTCTTGTGAGAGGTTCTAGGTTGACTGCTGTAGCAAGTGGGTTACCATCTTTAGTAAATGTTAATGAAGGTTGCTGAGGTCTTTCCTGTTTTTCCTCCCACACCCCGGTTTTATGTTAGCATGGGGGAAAATAGAAATCATGAACTGAATGTAGTAACTATGAATAAATATAAAGAAATTTGCTTGATTGGTGGCAGTAAGTACGCCCTGTCCTTCATTGAACATTTGTTGTTTTACTCAATTCAAATTAAAAGCAAGCTTCAGTTGGAGGTGGGAGCAGCCATCAGCTTTGAATTTGCATAAATTGTGATTTAAAAAGAATTTGTGATTTAAACAGAATTTTCCAGCCACCTTTCAGCTTTTCTGGACTGTGATGCCGGTTAGAAGTAGCATTTACATCCAAGCCAGAAACTGAACTTTCAGGAGATAGTTCTGTTCTTTACTGTTAGCTATGTACTTTTGTGATACATTTTATTTAAAAAGAGGAGCTGCTTGCAATACTGAATTGATTTCACAGCCCACTGGTTCCTGACCCATGGTTTGAAAAAACACTAATTAGATCAGGTATTTGTGTACCAGAGTGTGAGTTAATTCAGCGTGTTTTGAGGTTATCATAAATTTCCGATACTGCCATATTTGTAAGTACAGACAATTTAGAGGAATAGCTGAACAACAAGATTCTGCTTGTTGACATCATCCTGTCCCTGGCCTTCCCCCTCTCCTTTTCCTGGCTCCTTGGAGAAACAGACCTTTTCTGAGAGGCCCCTTGCACGGGGATGGTGAGAAGAGAGTGTTGAGTTTGGAAGTCTGGGAGAGGACAGCTGCGTTTAATTGTGGCCTGAGTGCTGCTGCACTTTTTCCCTTGCAGGTCACATTTCCATGGTTTCTTTTCCTTAGCAGATGCCTGCCCACGTTCCCTGGGGGATTGTCAGGTGTCTCTGAGTGTGGACATTCAGTGATGGCAAGAGATTTAGGTTCTGAGAGCAACGTGAGGTGAGGCTGAACTGTAGGATGAGGTCCAGTGTCTCACAGCTCCACTCTAGACAGGGGAGCCTGCAGGGATGGATGGCACCAGGAGCTGTGGACCTGTGTATACGTCCCTGTCCTTAAGAGGTCAGCAGCCTGGTGCCAGGCAAGTGCCCTAAGACAGTTGCAGTGACTGAGGGCCACAGCACAAGCCACTGGCTTGGGAGGCAGTTTTGGAGAGTTGGATTGAATCTCAGAGTAGAAGTAGGGGGGTCCAGGGAGGGCCTGCAGGTCTGCTGGGGCAAGGCCTGGGTCTTGGGTGGCAGGAGGTCTGGCCCAGTTTGGAGCGTATGACCATAATGGTCTTTGGGCCACCTGCTTTCTCAGGTGTAGGTGGTGGACAAGGCCAACCCAGGTGGGTTCTGGGGCAGGCTGAGTGTTATCTTAGCAGGTGTCAGTACTTGAGATGGAGGCCCAGGGTAGCCAAGGGTGGGGAATCGGGTGTTCCTGGGCAGCCAAGATGGACTTGTTAGCAGGGTTCATGCAGACATTGGCGATTTGAACTCAGTGAATAGTTCATAGTCTTTTGTTGTTCTTACCCCCTTGCTTTATGGCCTTTTCCTGCTGCCCCAGAGTAATGAGGAAAATGAAGGCCAATTTTCCTGTCAAACTTAGTTGCCCTCTAAGTTTTTAAAATACTGTGCCAATGCTTCATGTTCCCTCTTTATCAGTAAAATGTAACAATGTTAAGAATTTGTTTTGCTTGAAAGTGTTTTTTGTTTGTAGGATGGAGGTGGGAGATTCAAAAAGGAAAGTTACAGTAACTTTTGGAGTAGTCCTGGGCATTTGGGTTCTAATCCAGGATCAGGGAACATTCTTGCTAGTAGGTCACCAAGAATGGAGTGCCCTTCAAGAAGGATTTGGTCATGTGAGGTTTTTATAGGTCACCAAGGGTGCAGTGTCCCCATGGAGGCTCTTATGGCCAGCGTGGGGGCCGTCCTGTCATCCGGTGGTTTTGGTGCTCTTCTGTGTCTAGCAGTGAGGCTGAGCTGCTTGTTTCCTGGTGCAGGCCGATAATGTTTTCGAGGTGGCCCTTGGTGAAGGATGCTGGGCCAGGGGTCAGCCTAGGACCCAGCCTGCCAGTTGCA